TTGAAAGAGTCCGCCTTTTTTACTGCGATCTTTCATGTTGATATATATCCGGTAATAAGGCGTACCGGTCCAAGAGTTTGTGCACTTTATGCTCAGGAGGTCAAACTGCATTTGTGTACAAAGTGCCCTCCCCTCCCGGTGCATTTCTCGGTTGCCCCGTGGCCGCTCCTTATGGCAACAGCATACGTCGGCTCTGTCGATTTAGTGAGGCTCTGTCAGTGGAGTGGCGACTCTTTTTTTGTTATGAAGTACAGACTGCCGCCACTCGCACGCACATTGTGCTGGTCCACTCCGAAGTACCCGGGTTTCTGGTGTTAAGGGTAAGGCGACACCAGAGACCAACACCTAGTCCCTGTTGAAGATTTGAAAAGCACGTTATTATCCACACCGCTAACGGCTTGTTCATTCTTTGAACAGATTTTCAATGCGCTGGTTGTTCCGCGGCATTGCTTTCAGCATTCCTGCGTTTAGCAGCCTGCTGCGCTTACAAGTCTTATATGTGGTGCCGACTTGAACGTCTAATGAGACCACATGGCGTTCCAATGTGGTGCACTTGTTTTAAATAAACAGCACGACCAAAAAAGGCTTTAATAGATATGTGGTAATTACAAACGAAAGACGCATTTGTTGCTAGTAGTTTGACAGGCCCTATACGGTCATCACGATTCCATATGCACACGGGCTTGAAATGAGCCAAACAAAGCACGGAAATTGTAAACACCAATGCATTACCGCGGCGACATCACAGCGGAATCATCTGTTCCCATTAACCGTTGCCAGAAAACTTCATACATTCTTTAACACGTGCCTGGGTGGTCGGCTAGATGACCTTTGCTCGGGTGGGAGAGGGTCAATTTGACCCCCTGAGATCTCGGGAACTAAGAAAGCTAGAGACAAAAATTTACAGTGTGTGTTGACCTGTACGTGAACTCACCTAGGTTTAAGTTTCAGGTTCCTAGGTTATGACCTTTGGGCTCAAAAGGTCTAACAAGAAGCAAGGGCACGTTTCAGGCTGGTCTCCAAAGTGTACTCAGACCCTAGATAACCGAGCAAAAGGTCACATGCTCATTCAAGGTCAGTGATCTTGTTTGAACTTTTGAAGGTCAAGGTGACCAAAATCATACAAGATTGTTTCGAGTTTTACATTTGACTAAGCGACAAAGATAACACTTGGCAGTATGTTCCTAAAACAAAATGTTGAGCTGGGTCATTTTAGGTCAATGACCTATTCTGACCTCTAAAAAGTCAATGAAAGATGTATAATGCGGCCCTTGTTATCAACAAATTTGAAATGAGCACCAGAAACTATCCGGTACAGCAAGCCCTAGGGTAACAAAATAGGTTGCCTTTTGACCTTGGTTTGACCTTCATACCTGACCTTAGGTCAATTTAATTTACTCATTCAACTGCTGTATTGCCTAAGAAAACATCTCAGAGACGTATGGCTTCGTCTAACACTCCGTTGTCGGATCAGATTGAAGGATTCCCTAGAAATTGCCATCGCTGAAACCATGGCCTGATTTTAACCTGCCATAGGTTAGTTACCTTGCAAGGTATATCTAGTTTTTTAAGTAAAATTTTTGATGCCAAACGATTCGCTGTTCAATTTTTCACAGCTATGCAAAATTTGGCGCGGCTACGCCGCACCGTTCGGAAACCACTCTGGTAAAACCTTCGCGGGGGTCAATTTAACCCCCACCCGAGCGCGTGTTAAATTTTGCGCTGCACATATGATTTTTTTTTACAATCTTATCAAAACAGATTTGCCATTATTTAAATTATCTCAAGATACCGCTCAAAGGCGTTAGGAAAGCTGGCAGATCCATGAACGCAATGAGATTGGAGGAGACCATTCCGCATCATTTCTAGTTTGTGTATCATTCTCGTTCTGTACGATTTTTACCACCGACTCCATGGCAGGGGACGCAAGGGTTGGCTTGTTGAGTTTTTTAAAATTACGTTCACAAGAGCTCGGTTGTAAGAGTTGTATGAAGCCGTACGTGCCGTCGCATTCAACTTTGTTGCCACGCCGAGCAGTCGGTGACCTCAGCTCCGGCGTGGGAGGATTTGAGCCCCGCGCTCGTTAGGGCCCCTGAACGCTTATAGGGCGTCTGAAAAGGATGTGCAGTCATGCACGTCGTGCTCCTTTTTTAAACTCACACCCCGAGCTTCGAAAACGTTAGTCTACGTCACACGCACGGTCCACACCCGTGGAGAAATTCGACTACATGGAAATTTGGGTGGTTGTCATTTCTTGGCAAACAGGCGCAGCTTGTATCAACATCTGCCTTTGTCGGTAAGCAACGATACTGTGAGCCCCAGCTTTCGAAATTATGATTTTTTGCTTCATGACGTTGCCTGATGCAGCCAGCTTTTGTTTTAAGGAGCAGCTCGCGGCTACATGAACCTTTCTGACAAATGACATTCAAGCGTGCAACTCTTGTGAATGATAGTGACGAAAGCCGTCCCAGCTACGTGACTCATGTGTGGTCAGGTAACCGCCGGAAAACATCGACCGCGCTCGCCCCGATAACGTGTGGACGAGCAGCTGGCCATATTTGGAGGCAGATAGCATCCAAGTACTTAGAGATGGGTAAAGTACGCCCTTGGTCGCAAAGTACTATCGTTGCGGTTGATACCTAGTTATTTGATAATATTCTGAGCCGCAGAGTGCTCGCAAAGTCTTATAAAAATGTCAGAGATGGCCCTGCCTCCAGGGGTGTAGTTTCCTATTCAGTGGGGGGCGGAGTTTCCGGGGTTTCAGCCTGTTCCCAACTTGGGCTCCAGCCTCCAACTTTGGGAAGAAAGTGTGGACCAATCTGGGGAGGAATCCGTTCGTTGGCATATCTTGGGCGTAGGTCGGGTCATGTTTCACTGCCTCTCCAACTCATTTTGTGAATCTACACTTCTTCCTGTCTCTGTAAGTACTCCTCTACGACTCTTTTTTCCACAAAAGTCCCCTGGCTACGCCACTGTTCCGAATGAAGCTTTTCAACGATGTCGAGGGCGGCATTAGGCTGATGACTGAATTATGAAACGAAATTGCCATAGTGAAAGCGCTTTTCGGCCGAGGTATTGAGTAGAAATATAAAACTTGCGTAAAATGAACCATTCAAAGCAGCGATCGCGCCCCCTTCTAGCCGCTACCGTCTGAATCGATCTTTGTAAAAAAATATATATATTATGACATGCCTGCTGCCATGCGCAACCATACACACATATCTACTGGATGGTCATGTGTACCGTGATAGCAAAAGCAATAGGGGCACTGTGATAGCATGGATAGTAACTTCTAAAAATATCGAAACGGCGCCCGCCGCAAAACGGAATCCTGAATCGTAGAGGTCCTCTAGAAAAAAAGAAGAAAAACAAGACCCCATCAGCCAGGAAGCCGTGCCCAGCTTCTTGTAGGATCCTTGACTCCGCCTCCTGGGCGAAATCCTGACTCCGCCACTGATGGCTCTTGCTGTCTCAGGGCTTCCACCAGTGGATCGAGGCTGTGCACTAGTATTGAAGACCAGCTGGGATATGCTGTGATCAATTGGTCGTAGCACACGTGTCTGATTTGCGTGGTCTTCTGACAGTCGGGCTGTCAGGGAGCCCATTTATACGGCATCGACGCCAGCAGCTCAGTTCGGGCATCACTACACAATTTCAGCCTTTGGACGCCTCGATGGTGAGCTATGTGCCGCTACGCGGATAGCTTCATCGTGACGTGTCCCCGAGGCTCCGACCACTTCGGGACCGCCGGCCTTTTTAGGCTCCAACTGACGTACCCATCCCTCCTCTAAAAGGCGTGATCTCGCCGTCCATGGTGACGTACGGGTGGGGGGCAATGCGTCCGCGGGCACCTCATTCCTCTACCAGCACAGCGTTGGCAGCAACCTTTAGGTTCATCATCGCATCGACGTTCGTTGGGACCACTTCGGGTGTCGTCTGATTGCTTCGGTACGGTCATCTGTGCGGCTGACTGTCCACTGGCAGCTGCGTGGTCTTATTCGTACCTGTGTCTACAGCTCTGGCCGTTGCAATGTTTCTCGATGCATGTAGAAGTAACCCAACGGACTTTGCGTGCAAAATGCTCGGCACGTAATTGGGTTGAAAATGCGAATTAAATTAAACAACACTCCGTGATGCTTTGATCGGTGGGTGTTCATCAAATGTTAACGTTTTACATGCATAGGCTGAGAAACACACTAGGTGTGGGCACGGACACTGGACATTCTTGCAAGTTTGGTGACCGATGGACTTTTTTGGTGTCCGGTGAACACCCATAGGGTCAATGCTAAATCTTCGTGAAGTTAAGGCTCAGTCTCTCTTCCCGGCCACCTCCGGTTTCCGCGCCCCGAGTGGGAGCATGAGTGACAGTATGTTAGCCTGGCGCAAAATTAGATCCTACCTGGAAGATGTCGTGGGTAGGAGCCCCTCCCCGACACGAACGCCTGAGAAGCCACGTGTGTGGGGTCAACAGGTACTGAATGGCTCCATTACGTCCAAGGGCTTAAACACCAGTTTGGAGTGGGATCCTCAGGCAGCATGTTTCGGTTAAACCGATCAACTGGCAGCTAAGTTACCCTCAGCTTGGGTTTCTTAGATGCTGGATACCCACAAAGGATTAAGCGGTCTAGAAACAGTGTGGGGGGGGGGGGGGTCCGGAGCGGCTAATGACACTGGGGGATGACGCTAAGGCTTGTGAGTTGAAGGAATGAACTGGACATGTTTCGAGGCCTCAAAACTGCTAAGGGTCGCCTCGGCTCACAAAATAATTCCCTGGAAGAAAATCGACCCCGAGAAGTGCATGCTTGGAGCTGATGCGCATGTGCACCTAGATTATCGGGGATTCTCGGCGCATTGATTTTCCCCTAATAGCGACGAGACGCGTGATGATAGATCAGATGTGTTCAAACGGGTCGCATCACAATTGGTGTACTGGTTTGTCCACCACTAGCAGGTCCGACCGCCGGACGCGACGATCGCGCCAGTATCGTCACTCGAGACTACTGTGGAACCGAGCCGCGGCGTCGCCGGTGTGGTTTGCGGTGGTGTGTGACGGGATTTGGAGGTCCACGCCCAGATCGTGTGGGTTCCGAAGGAAATTTGAGGATTTCGGCATTATCTATCGCCCCTTACATTTCTGATTAGATTCCAGCGAAAAGGTCATTGTCATGTCGTACAGTAAGAAGTACGCGTTTGCGTCGCTGCCCCGTACCCAAAGAGGAACGCCCATTGTGTTGGGCGGTGACCCAAAGGGCAAACACTTCCTGTATACGAATGGAAACAGTGTGTACATCAGGGACATTAACAACCCAGAGATATGTGATATCTACACCCAGCACTCGACGACGGTGACAGTGGCCAAGTACTCGCCGAGCGGATTTTACATAGCATCTGGAGATGCCTCTGGAAAAGTAAGGATCTGGGACACGGTGAACCTAGAACACATCCTAAAAAACGAGTTCCAGCCTATCTCAGGTGAGATCAGAGACATAGCATGGTCTCCAGACTCTCAAAGGATAGTGGTTGTTGGAAATGGAAGGGAAAAATATGCCCATGTGTTCATGGCGGACACTGGAACATCTGTGGGGGAGATCCTGGGTCAAACAAAGATCATCAACACTGTGGATTACAGGCCTGCAAGACCATTTAGGATCATCACTGGCAGTGAAGACAACTCTGTGGGATTCTTTGAGGGCCCACCATTCAAGTTCAAGCTCACAAAGCATGATCACACTCGCTTTGTGCAGGCTGTTAGGTTTTCACCAAGTGGCGAGTTGTTTGCTACAGGAGGTTTTGATGGCAAAATCTTCATTTATGATGGTAAGACTGCTGAGCTTGTGGGGGAGATGGGATCTCCTGCCCACAAAGGAGGTGTCTATGCTGTGGCCTGGAGCCCTGATGGCAAGCAGTTGTTGTCTTCATCTGGGGACAAGACCTGCAAAATCTGGGATGTGGAGACAAGGACCATGGTAACTGACTTCTGCATGGGCACTACAGTGGAGGACCAGCAGTACTCCTGCCTGTGGCAGGGTGAGCACCTGCTGACTGTAGGCCTCCATGGCTTCATCACTTACCTGGACCCCAAGAACCCGTCACAGCCTATCCGCGTGATTAAGGGTCACAACAAGCCCATCACCGCACTGGCTGTCAGCCAGGACAAGAGTCACATCTACACTGGCTCACACGACGGCAACGTGACCCAGTGGGACGCGGCCTCGGGCGCCAACGAGCGCGTGCAGGGCGTTGGCCACGGCAACTACATCAGCGGTGCCGTCACCAACGCCGACAGCATCGTCACCATCGGCTACGATGACGCGCTGCGCACCGTCAACGAGCTGAAGCTGGCCTACACCGACTGTCTGACGCTGGGCGCCCAGCCGCGCGCCATCAGCGCCGGCGATGACACCGTGGCCGTCATCACTGTCAAGGAGATCGTGCTGCTGAAGGGGAACAGCCGCGTCGCCTCGCTGCCCATCAGCTACGACCCCTCGGCGCTGGCCTTCAACGCGGCATCGGGCGAGCTGGCTGTCGGCACGCAGGACACCAACCAGGTGATCGTGTACCAGGTGAGCGGCGCCAGCATCAGCCAGAAGCTGGAGCTGCAGCACCGGGGCGCCGTCACCGACGCCGCATACTCGCCCGACGGCCAGTTCCTGGTGGCCTGCGACGGCCACCGCCAGGTGGTGCTGTATCGGCTGCCCGACTACCAGGTGGCCAACCCTATGGAGTGGGCGTTCCACGCGGCCAAGGTCAACTGCGTCGCCTGGTCGCCCGACTCGTCGCTGGTGGCCTCCGGCTCGCTCGACACCAACGTGATCGTGTGGAGCGCGCGCGACCCGCGCCAGCACCTGATCATGAAGCGCGCGCACGACCAGAGCCAGGTGACGCGCGTCGGCTGGCTGGACAACGAGACGCTCGTCTCCGCCGGCCAGGACTGCAACACGCGCCTCTGGAACATCAGCCTGTAGGCGCGCCCGCGGCACCCTGGCCGCCTGTCGGCAGGAGTCGCGGGCCGCCGCCGCCGCCGTGTTTTGTACTAACGCGTCTGTGGGCCGTCGTGCCTTGTGTGCGCTGCTGGCTCTGCTGAAACCGGTGCCCGCCGCGGCGCCGCCGCTCGTGTATTGCTGGAGAGTTTTCGTGTGCGCATGCTGGACGTTGGTGCTCTGAAATCACGCGCATGATGTTCTGATGCTACTACCAATGCTAGCGTTGTGATGATTTAGCTTATTCTGGAAGTCTTCCTCTATTGTGACTTGCATGGCTGCCTATTTCACGAACAATATAGTAATGATCAAGCGTGCTTCCGCTGGACAGGAGGCGCGATGAAGCGATGGTTTTACAAATGGAATACAATGCACCATTTAATACACTTGTGTCGTCGCATATTAACCTAGGATGCTTGGTATTTCATTTAGCTGTAGTCATGGAACGCCAGGAATAAAACCACGTATTGGGCAGGAGCGGCATCTTCGGCTACCACCAAGGTAGTGGGTGACCATGTCACAATCGTCGCAGCACTGTGCGGCACGGACAGATGCTAAAGTGGTGGAGTACCGGACGCGTATAACGAAAACTTGGACTGAGATTTGATTTTTAGAGCAATCAGCGGCGTGTTAACGAGTGATCCTCCAAGCAAGCGCCTCGCACCCCAGCCGCACTTAAAAAATGCAACAAAGCTTTCCAGACGGGAGTGCTCAGGCGGCTGACAGGTCTTACCTGCATGGAATTTCAGTCCACCGGCGAATTATAGCAGACAACTGAGGGGGCTGTATTTCACGTGCTATCCAGCTGCCGATTTGGGCCACTCCCGTATCGCCGACCGATCACGCGTGGGACGTTAGACGAGGCGTGAGGGAGACGCTCACGAGGATGTCCACGCTCTCTTCCAGTCACATTCACCCCTGCCCGGACTTCGGCATCATCTCGCCCGCCCGGGCCACCCTCTCGGCGGCACTTCACCGAGCTTCCCATCTGCCAGACTACTTCACGACTGTCCCCTCCCCCCCCCCCCCCTCCCTCCTCCATTTCGCCGCCAGGCCCCTTCACGGAAGCTCACGACACGAACCAGAACTGAGCAATCAGAATAATCGACATTTCATTGGCTGAAGCACTTGACCGATTTCGTTGCAGCAGAGAAGCCGTTGCGCGACAGACCTGGGTCGGTGGACGCTGCCGGCGACTCTCTCGCGTCGGCCCACATGGACGCCGCCTCTCCCCGCCCTCGGCACGCCGGGCCCAAGCGACGGCGACCTTGCGCGGATCCAGCCGCGGGTCACACCCGAGTCTCGTCTGTCGCCATCCCAGGAATTTCCAAGCTGCGAGGCCAGGCGTCGCCACGTGCTGGCTGTGCGCACCGCGACTTGAAGAACAGACTACACGCCGTCACCGGCCGTGAAATGTCCAGCGACGCGCACTGTGTCCAGGGCCGTTCTCACAGCCAGACAAACGACCAGCACCGGGGGAGCTGATGCGACAGAACCGCGGCTGGTCTGCGCATGTTTATTGCACATGTGTGTGAGCACTGACACGGGAGACGACACATTTTACTTTTGTAGGTATGACCCGTCTGCGATCAGTACTAAAGAGCCGCCACCAGGCGCCCATCTTCCTCTCAAAACTGCTGCAAACTACTAGGCGATCCGCTTCAAACGCAAGGCGGCATCTACGTACCCTTCAAAGCAATACAAAACGTAATTAACCATTTCATTTGGCGTACCACCGTGGTCATGTATACTATCGTGTACCCAAAATAAACTTCAACACTATCGCCCTCCAGGCGCCACCCACACACAGGTCCAATATCGGGGCACCCGATCACGGAGCGCAGAGTGGTGCTGCTTCCGTCCGGCGCCCGCCCGGCCGACATCGGCGGTCATCAGCGCATCACCGGCATGGCCGTGGCGGCCCGGCTGTGGGTGACGTCATCAGCCCGCCACATCTGCGTCACCGTCTTCACCTGGGTGTAGAAGTTCATCCCCTGGAGGGAGCGCGCCGGTCGGGTTAGACGCCGGAGGACAACGTAGAGGTGTTGAGCGGGTTGAGGTCCGGAGGCGCGTCACGCTCACTGCGAGGTGTGATGCACACGGCCGTCCGCACTGGCCTTCTTTGGCTAGTGTCTGTCTAAAACCCGCGGCGGGGGGGGGGGGGCTCCGTGGTCAACGTACTGACACCAGCAGTGCACTGATACAATTTAACACCATGGAGGGCAGTCCCGGTCCGGGAGATGGGGCAAAACCGATTTGGGAATGCAGCTGACATGCGACAACATCGTTTGACAAGGGGTGTGTGGGGGGGGGGGGGGAGACGCGAGACGCCCAGGAGTCTACATCCCCTCTCATCGGCGATGCCCCCGAGCACCAGCCACCTGTCCCTGAAGCACTCAGCCCTAGTGATGTGTTAATACCAGGATCAAGGTTCTGCACAACCAATCACAACACCGCTCTTCAGCCACTAAAACGTAAGAGCGCGCATGTTTACCACTACGTGGAACACCTCAGCCAGACACAGGCCCGACAGCAGGACACTCACAGCAGACAGGGCGCGCTACGCACCGCTGTGGGACCGCTGCGGAGAACCGGAGTGCTCGAGCAGGGACGGAGGGGAGCAGTCCGCCAACACCGGGCCAAACGCGCCGCACCACACTCACCGCCTTGCCGTAGAAGTTGGCGTCGCCGAGGAAGGAGCCACGCGAGCCCGTGAACGAGAACATGGGCAGCGGCACCGGGATGGGCACGTTGATGCCAACCTGGGAGCACGGAGCGCGGTCAGACACCCCGCTGGCCGCGAGATGCGCCGGCCGCAGCCCAACACGGTGGCTGCGGCCGGCAGCGGCGCATGGTCAGAAACGCCGGCCTGGGACACGTTGACCGCATTTAAGTGCGCACCCGCCAGTGGAATGTGCGATAGCTCTGTACGAGCACACGAACGTATCCATGGTCGAAAGCCGACACGCGGCTCACAGACAGACGCCACGGCCAGGCGCGCATACCGATCACACGCACGACTCGAGACAAACACAATCCGAGAGACAGCCCAAGCCAGGCCGGCTGACGTACGCCGGACGTCGGACACTGCCGCCCCCCACCACCATCCCCGCCCCGTCACAACTGCGTCTGACCCCCTCACGGGGCCCGGTACGCCACTTACGGTCACCCCGCCCGGGCGACACCGCCCGCCCCCGGAGCTCCACCCCGGAGCCGGCCGGCCGCGTTCCCACCTGTCCAACGTCGATCTCATGCGTGAACTTGCGGGCCGTGGCGCCATTGGTGGTGAAGATGGCCGTGCCGTTGCCGTACGGATTGCTGTTGATGAGCCGGATGGCGTCGTCCAACGTGTCCACGGTCAGCACGCAGAGCACGGGGCCGAAGATCTCCTCACGGTAGCACTCCATCTCGGGCTGCCGGCGGTGCGGACCGACGCCGAGTGAGACGCCGACACTGCGTCGGCTCGCGGGAGCAGCGCGGCTCAGGCCGACGCCGAGTGAGGCGCCGCGCCGGCTCCCGGGAGCGGCGCGCCTGGCAGAGGTCTCCAGACACGAAACTGGTACAGGTCTTGGCAGTCTCGCCTGCGTCGCTTCACCGCTTTACGATACCTTCGTCAACGATTGCTGCGCATTTGTACACATCACGACGCATGGAACATAGCACTATTGATTATTGCTAATACCATTTTAACTGTAAAATCCATATCCATTTTCGCTATCACCTAACATAAATACTACGAATACGCCACACATTTCACTCCAGACCACCCTCGGGTGTGCACAGGCCAATAAGAAAGCGCAAATCACTGTTAAATATCATCACCAGGGGAAGGCCACTGGCCAATCAGCACGCCAGTCATCGGCACACATATCACAGAAATAGCCCATATGCGTGTTGAGCATCCTTAACTACCACAGACGAAACGCGCAACCGGTGCGCAGTTACTCCATTTGCATTCGTTTTTGCGCTCATGTCTTTAACGTGTGAGTGAGCGCGACATTTCGAGTAGTAAAGACCAACTTAAGCACCATAAAAATACTGCTTGGGATGATGCCTTTCCAACGTAGCAGACGGTAAGCCCCTGACTAGCTCTCTTCCGCAAGGCTCAAAGTTGTGTATGGGTTCTGCATGTGCGACTTCTCCAACCTCTTCTCCATGCAGCTCACGGCCAGCCCATCACAAAAGGCTGAGTGTGCCTAATTAGCAAACATATCCTCTTTGAGCTCCCACCTGACCTTTGTCAACACAATGGCGCCCGTCACCACGCCTCTGACGAGCACAGCTCCTTCCAGTCACCCCGACCATCCCCGGACCCAACGCATCCGCACTGTGGCCCCGGCCGGCGCAGTCCCGCGCCCCTCGCCGCCGCCTGCACCGCCCAGCCCCCGCTCTCACCGTGACGTTGGTGAGGATGGTCGGACCCACGAAGTTGCCACGCTCGTAGCCGGGCACCTTGACGCTGCGGCCGTCCAGCGGGCACGAGGCGCCCTCCTTAATGCCCGACTCCACCAACTGCTCGATGCGCTGTTTGGCCTTGGGCGAGATGACCGGGCCCAGGTCGGCGTCCGGCTCGTGACCTGACGACGGGCGAGCCCGGGTCACCGGCCCGCCGACGAGCGTCGGTGACCTCCGGCCGGCCGTCCAGCACAGCGGTTCAATCGGCCGACACGCAGAGCACAAGCGCGGCCCTCCACTACACACACCACACAGCCAGCACATACACCCTCACCGCTCGCAGCGGTGCGCACGCGCCGGCGCCAGGGCAGGCCACCTACCGGCGTTGACGCGCAGCTTGCTGCTGCGCTCCACCAGCTCGGGCAGCCAGTTCTTGGCGTCGCCGACCAGCACTGCCGTGCTGAGCGCCATGCAGCGCTGGCCGGCAGCACCGAACGCCGCGCCCACCAGCTGGTTCAGCATGTTCTCCTTGTTGGCGTCCGGCATGATGACGCCGTGGTTCTTGGCGCCCATGTTGCACTGCACACGCTTGCCATTGCGGCTGCCGCGTTCGTAGATGTGCTTGCCCTGGGTGGTAGCGCCGTATGAGGTGGCGGCCGCGAGAGGGGGGGGGGGGGGGGGCAGAGTTCCCTCTTTCAAGACACGGCGCCCCACAGGGGTCTCGGATCACGACCTTCTGGAGGCTCATGACAAACCTTTTAACTTGACAGGCGTCACTGTCCCATGTCGTAACGTCGGTTGAGTTTCTGAGGCAGTAAGTGATGTCCTCTATCGTTAAGGATGCCAAGGTCATATGCATTGCGATGTCCCTGTGCCACGTTCAAAAATCATTCTGTTCCTAGATTCCCACCTGTCACCAACTAGAGAGCAATAATAGAGGCTCCTTGCATACCCATCAGGTACTCCATTCCCGGCTTCACTCACAGCCACGTCCGAGCCGACGAAGGAGATGGCGCGGATGTCGGGGTTGTCGCAGATGAAGTTGACCGCCTCGTGCTCGCCGTGGATCACGTTCACAACACCGTCCGGCATGCCCGCCTCCTGGCGACGGCGAAAAGAAACAGTGATGGCTGCCACCACCGAAATGGGGCAATATCAATCGCCCCGCTCTCTGAACGTGAGAGCGCGATGACTAGAGATCGCTGCTTGAGATCGCTCTCACTGCACACTAAAACACGCACAAAACAATGATGAATTACGCTACACCAGCCTAGTCCACAGGCGTAACGCCTGGCGACAATCCCCTCGGCAGTGAGCGCTCCCCACGGACCCCACACTCAAGGCCGGTGAGCGCCGCTCGGGCCGTGACCGGGCGCGTGACCGGGCACCTGAGCTGACCTCGAGGTCAGGCGCGGCTCTCCCACCTTTAACAGCTCCACCAGCAGCATGCAGGCGCCCGGGTCACGCTCGGACGGCTTGACGATGGACGTGTTGCCACACACGGCAGCAGTGGGGAACATCTGCCGGGGAAGGGACAGCGGCGGTCAGGGCCGGGGACGGGACAGCGGCGGTCAGGGCCGGGGTGGGACAGTGGCGGTCAGGGACGGGACGGGACAGTGGCGGTCGGGGGCGGGGACGGGACAGCGGCGGTCAGTGACAGGGACGGGACAGCGGCGGTCAGGGCCAGGGCGGGACAGCGGCGGTCAGGGCCGGGGTGGGACAGTGGCGGTCAGGGACGGGACGGGACAGTGGCGGTAGGGGGCGGGGACGGGACAGCGGCGGTCAGGGACGGGGACGGGACAGCGGCGGTCAGGGCCGGGGTGGGACGGCGGCGGTCACCGGCCGGGGTGGGACAGCGGCGGTCAGGGCCGGGGCGGGACAGCGGCGGTCACGGCCGGGGTGGGACAGCGGCGGTCAGGGCCGGGGTGGGACAGCGGCGGTCACGGCCGGGGTGGGACAGCGGCGGTCAGGGCCGGGTGGGACAGTGGCGGTCAGGGCCGGGGTGGGACAGTGGCGGTCAGGGCCGGGGTGGGACAGCGGCGGTCAGGGCCGGGGTGGGACAGCGGCGGTCACGGCCGGGGTGGGACAGCGGCGGTCACGGCCGGGGTGGGACAGCGGCGGTCAGGGCCGGGGTGGGACAGCGGCGGTCAGAGCCGGGGTGGGACAGCGACGGTCACGGCCGGGGTGGGACAGCGGCGGTCACGGTCGGGGTGGGACAGCGGCGGTCACGGCCGGGGTGGGACAGCGGCGGTCAGGGGCGGAACGGGACAGTGGCGGTCAGAGCCGGACAGTGGGGGTCAGGGTCAGGCCAGGGTCACATCAGCGATCAGTGGCCAGGCCGACCGCCCAGCTGACTAAGACACGGCGCCGCCCGATCGTCAGCTCGTCAGCTGATCGGCGCAGCGTTTCCATGAAGGGTGCTCTTGTAAGTTTGTAGAGGGATATATCGACCCGGGCCGGGTTACCCAGGTCTGATTAACTTAGCTTGCGGACGACTGGCTGAGCGAGCAGCCTTGACCAAAACACGTACCGCAGAGCGCAGCGTGCGTCTGCTGCACCGCGACTGCCCTGATCCTTTCACCAGTCTCTAAACGACAACATTTGCGATACGCCACGAACCACGCAGCATGGACTTCAGAAACACACGCAACAGCCGGAGCATATGACGTACTCTTTCATGCCAGACACAGGGACCGGACGACCCAACTGCGGCACCCCGCCTCCGAGCGGCAGACGGCCGGGCGGCGCGTCCGGACGACTCACCCAGAGCGGGATCATGGCGGGGAAGTTGAAGGGCGTGATGCCGGCGCACACGCCCAAGGGGATACGGTACGACAGCGTGTCCATGTCTTTGGAGACGCCCGGCATCGTCTCGCCCAGCTGCAGACTCGTGATGCTGCAGCAGTGCTCCACCACCTCTGCAACGGCACGCAGAAGACGTGAAAATCGACGCGATCACTTGGCGAAACCCCCGGCGTCATCCTCACACGACACATGCAATGCACCTTATGTGTGTGTTGAACAGTGTTACATGCCAGCCTACTACACATCGTAACACAAGTGCACACACTTGCTGTGTTTCTCGCACACAAGTGCGAGAAACGCAGCAAGAACACCTCCGATCACCCTCAAAAAGGGGCAGCGTAGCACCTTATGCAATCTCTAGCAGGACATACCTATGAGGCAAGGCTCTATCAGCCAGCAGCATCGCAGCATGCATGTATCGTGCGTATCCGATCCAACTCCGTCATCCTGCATATACGTATCCACCCGGTAAACGTCTCCACCCGGAATTAGGCATAATTGGGCATAATAATAAAACACATCACGCTGCACGGACATTCCTCCACATCACACAGCTATCGGCCCGAACCAAACTGAAGTCTGATCGAGCCCAGTCGCCTTCGTGTCTCCATGCGGTGACAGCTGCCCCCCCCCCCCCCCCCCTTGTAACCGTCACCAGCTGTCGGTGATCAGAATGGGCGCACCGGGGCGCGCCGCGGCGGGCCGGGTGACTCACGCAGGCCGCGCAGTACGTCGCCCTCGGCGTCCACCAGCGTCTTGCCCTGCTCCTGGGTGATGCTCTCCGCCAGCCGGCGCATGTTCTGCTTGATCAGGTTCTGGTAGTTGAACATGATCTGCTGCCGCGTCAGGATGGATGTCTGCGACCAGGTCTTGAACGCCTCCTTGGCCGCGTCCACCGCCGAGTTCATCTCGGCCTGGGTGGCCTTGGGCACACGCGTGACCACCTGCCGGGCACAGCGGGACGGCCAGCGGGTCATGGCGGGGTCGGACGTTGCTCCCCAAAACCACCGGCGCCGCGCACAGGCAATCAAGACCTCCTTTACTCCGGCTCTAAAGCCACCTGTGCAACGCGGCGCGTGCTGCCATGACCAGGGCCGGAGTGCACTCACGCATGATAGCAACGTCCAAAACAATCGGTCAAGCTGCATCGCGTGACGTGTCACCAGGACAAAAAAAAAACTGTTTCTCGCGATTTCAAAACAAAACTGAAAAATCGAGTAGGATGGGCAGACAATGTTAAATGACTACTGATACTCATTTCGATAAACGCATGTAGCCGAAACATCAATATCAATATCATCAATATCAATATCATCAATATCAATATATATATATATATATATATATATATAATATATATATATATATATATATATAAGCGTGTGTGGCGTGTGTGCGTGCGTGCGTGTGTGCGTGCGTGCGTGCATGCGGTGCGTGCGTGCGTGCGTGCGTGCGTGCGTGCGTGTGTGTGTGTGTATGTCCATTCTCCTGCTTATTCTACGAGGAATAATTCAATCATTTATCATTACTGTCCTCTTTATATGCATTATGTTCCTCGCAAATGCGCTTGACAACTTATATCAACCAGAGCCTCCGGTGCAATGACGGCACTTCATTCCAGCATATGAATTAACAATATCGCAAAGCTAAAATATCCACATTTTATTGTTTACATCGGGTGCATTGCACATACTTTCTGTCTCGGGAAGGCAGCAAGCGCTACCTCACATTGTAAGGCTTAGCCCTTGTTCGTCCATTGTGACCCTAACCTTTCATTTTCTTCTTGGGCTTAACAATTAAAAAATACAGAGCACTGAATGGCCCTTACACATGCGCTATCCACATCAAAACAGTATATAAGAACAGCCTTTTCCTGAATTCGTTACACCACGCCATCGTTCTCGCACACTGGTTTGGCCTTGAGACTCTCCTTCGGTACTGCATGACGATGCCACATCCTCAGCCAACGGATAACGCCGCAAGGCCATATGGCAGTGATCAGTGGGCACCCCACGTGACCTGCCCGCATACTCCCCGCCTCTGTCCAAAGGTCGCCGCAAAGCTCGGTTGCCAGGCCTCATCCCATATGACGACGGTCAGCACCAAGGCCAAATCACGGCCATGTGACAGGGCTTAAAATACACATTCGCCGCCCGACAAAACCCACGGCTCCCGGCCGAGACGACGGGCAAACGGCCATGGCATGCCAGTTGGGGGAAGCGGCCCGCGGCAGCGCTTCAGCCCCTCATAAGGACGCCGGTGTCCGGGGCAGCGCCTCAGCCCCCTCATAGGGACGCCGGTGTCCGGGGCAGCGCCTCAGCCCATCATCAGGACGCCGGTGTCCGGGGCAGCGCCCCAGCTCCTCATCATGACGCCGGTGTCCGGGGCAACGCTTCAGCCCATCATCAGGGCGCCGGTGTCCGGGGCAGCGCCTCAGCCCCTCATAGGGACGCCGGTTGTCAGGGACAGCGCCTCAGCCCATCATCAGAACGCCGGTTGTCCGGGGCAGCGCCTCAGCCCCTCATAGGGACGCTGGTGTCTGGAACAACGCTTCAGCCCATCATCAGGACGCCGGTGTACGGGGCAGCGCCTCAGCCCCTCATAAGGACGCCGGTGTCCGGGGCAGCGCTTCAGCCCCTCATAGGGACGCCGGTGTCCGGAGCAAACGCTTCAGCCCATCATCAGGACGCTGGTGTCCGGGGGCAACGCTTCAGCCCATCATCAGGACGCCGGTGTCCGGGGCAGCGCCTCAGTCCATCATCAGGACGACGGTGTCCGGGGCGTCTCGGTTGTGCTATGAGCAGTCGTTTCGCCGTGGCTCGAGAGCTGCCCTGTTCGAATTTTGCTGCCCAACACAATGGCTATCTGATACTGCCTTACAGAACACAAGAACTCTGCCAACTGGCTCGAACGCACTAGGTAATGTATTAGTGACGGGAGATAGCTGGGCAAAAACCCTGACCAAGGGACCGACACAATCAGATGAAGGGGCCCCATCGGTAAACAACCGTTGTCCTAACTTATGTTCATAGACGAATGCAAAATGGCGTTTGATAATATTATAAAATATTTAGTGACCTATTATGATCATTGGATGCGACTTCATTCAGTCTGACGCAAAATGTTGTGCAACTTACGCCGTGAGATTCATGCTAATTGCTTCCTCCAAAGCACCCCTGGAAATAGTGCTGGTTCCAAAACAAGGCTTCCATCTTTATATATTTCTTTCTTACCGGCGCCAGCCGTTGGTCGTATTAGAACCAATTGGACGAAACCTAAGATCCAGTGTCAACAAAGCCAATGATTTCCATGCCTGAGCAAGAATGTGGTAATGATCTAATATGTAAGAATAAGAATCAGAATGTGGTCATGAATCGAAGTTGGGTTAAAAGTCATCAAGAAAAGAAACACACATCCACACAATTTCAGGTGCCAATGTCAAGTAAGATCAGTAAGGTCACTATTACATTGCTGTATGTCCAGTTTATCACTACCACTTAAAGATGCATGAGTGACAAAGAGTCATGGGGCAAACAGGACCAACACGTCCCAGCAATGGGGTACAATGTTTCAAACTGTGAAGCCCGAGGTCAGGCTATGTTAGTGACCTATCATGACATTCAGAATTATAATATCACTAGCAGGTGATCAAGTGATACTGCAGGCTAAGAAGTCAATAAAAATGACAGCTTAAATTACTAAAGCAGATGTTACCAGGGGCAGGGGTTGAAGCAAGCCAGGTGAATTATGCACTACAAAACAAATTTTGCAGGTTGACACACACATGCACACACATACACACAAACACCCACATGCACCCACACATGCATGGACGGACGCACGCCCACGTGCCACACACACACAAGGGAAGACTACCCTACAACACATTCGCGGGATACATCAAGCCTATCTACATTCCAGACATGACTTTAAAATACCAGGGAAAACGTGAGATTGATGAATGAGAGGATGGAGAAAACTTTAAGCACCTTGCATCAGCTGTTCGCCAGTTAGTGCCTAAAAGCCCATGGGTGTGGGTAGGAGCCGAACATCTAACCACCCAACAGCGTGAGGCAAGGGCCAATAAACTGTCAGGGCCTAACGTTACAGGCCTGGCCCCTGGTGCATTGGCATGGCACCAGTCCCCAGTGGGCGGACGGCAGCGCCCCACCACGGGACCCCGCTCGCCAGTGGACGCTCCGAAGCCAGCGCCCCACCACGGGACAGCTCGCCAGTGGATGCTCCGAAGCCAGCGCCCCGCCACGGGACCGCTCCCCAGTGGACGCTCCGAAGCCAGCGCCCCCACCACGGGACCGCTCCCCAGTGGACGCTACGAAGCCAGCACCCCACCACGGGACCCGCTCGCCAGTGGACGCTCCGAAGCCAGCGCCCCGCCACGGACCGCTCCCCCAGTGGACGCTCCGAAGCCAGCGCCCCACCACGGGACCGCTCGCCAGTGGATGCTCCGAAGCCAGCGCCCCACCACGGGACCGCTCGCCAGTGGACGCTCCGAAGCCAGCGCCCCACCCACGGGACCGCTCCCCAGTGGGACGCTCCGAAGCCAGCGCCCCACACGGGACCGCTCGCCAGCGGATGCTTCGAAGCCAGCGCCCCACCACGGGACCGCTCGCCAGTGGACGCTCCGAAGCCAGCGCCCCGCCACGGGACCGCTCCCCAGTGGACGCTCCGAAGCCAGCGCCCCCACACACGGGACCGCTCGCCAGTGGATGCTCCCAAGCCAGCGCCCCACCACGGGACCGCTCCCCAGTGGGACGCTCCGAAGCCAGCGCCCCGCCACGGGACCGCTCGCCAGTGGACGCTCCGAAGCAAGCGCCCCACCACGGGACCGCTCCCCAGTGGACGCTCCGAAGCCAGCGCCCCACCACGGGACCGCTCCCCAGTGGACGCTCCGAAGCCAGCGCCCCACCACGGGACCCGCTCGCCAGCGGATGCTTCGAAGCCAGCGCCCCACCACGGGACCGCTCGCCAGTGGACGCTCCGAAGCCAGCGCCCCACCACGGGACCGCTCGCCAGTGGATGCTCCGAAGCCAGCGCCCCACCACGGGACCGCTCGCCAGTGGACGCTCCCGAAGCCAGCGCCCCGCCACGGGACCGCTCGCCAGTGGACGCTCCGAAGCCAGCGCCCCAACCATGGGACCCGCTCAGCCAGTGGACGCTCCGAAGCCAGCGCCCCAACCACGGGACCGCTCGCCCGCGGATGCTCCGAAGCCAGCGCCCCACCCACCCCCCCCCCCCCCAACCCCCCCCCCCCCCACGGAACCGCTCGCCAGTGCACGCACCAGAACCAACGCCCCCGCCACGGACCGCTCGCCAGTGGACATGCCAAAGCCTTGGGCAGCCGAACCTGGCTCATCTGGTCACACAGACTTGCAACACAGGCACAGCCACCCAGCACAGGGATTGAGGGGAATGCAGGCAGCCACACAGCCACATCGCAGGTGGGGTGGCCGGGGAAGGGGCCCACAGCTGGCCAGCCCTGGCAAGCTGCGGAAGACTGGGAAATAAGGCAAATGAGCTCCTGAATTTGGAGGAAATATCAAATTTGCACCCTGGTGGTCTCTGAAAATTTCTTCATGAGCAGTGTCAACTGGCAGCATTATTCTGTCAACTTTAATCAGGTTCAGACAGTCTAAACACTTAACAGACACAGCCAAAAAAGATTACTTTCTGACTGGGCTGGACTGTACTGGTTGGACTGGGCCAGGCTAGGCTTGACATATCGCAGCACGTACAAAATGTACTCCACATGGTTTAAACTAATTAAAGCAAAAATTGCTTGATTTGGCTTCAACCCACATCCACACTTAAAAATCACCATGAAGCTATGAGATTGAAGAGTGCCACACTGAACAGCATCATATTATATGCTTCACACTGCAGAGGAAGTTACCTCAGTAAGGTATCAACAGCTTTAAGTCAACCCTGCATGTGCTATGTTTAAGGGCCATGGAAAGCAACCATGTCAAAACAATATAATTAATCTAGATTCACATAATTGAGACAATGGACACCACATCTGCTATTTGTTGCAACATTTGATGTGTGCACACTACACATAACTAGTACAACTTTTCCATCAATTGCATGCACAATTTCACCAAAACCACACACTCACCTCATTGGTGGCTGGGTTATGCAAGTCAATCCAATCAGATGTGGAGCTTTCCACAAATTGTCCATTGATGAATAGCTTGGTGGTGGCTACTGAGGCATACCGGTGACCAGAGCGCAGTCCCAGACAGTCCTGCCTGTTGATCACCAAAGACAGCTGATATGCTGAGCATGTGTCTCATCTGGCATGGTGCTTGACAGACAGGTAGTGAGATGATGAACATTTGAAAGTAAAGGATGTTGCATAATTTACAGCAGAGCCAAAAGGGAAAAAGTTAACATTTTTCAAGTCTACTAAATTCTTGATCATTTCCCTGCCCTGTGCTGATGTCAAAATCATAATCAACATCCATCTATTCTAGCTTGTAAAATGACTGGCCGAAATGGCCAATGGCACACTAATGACGACATCCTTTAACTTCCCAAAGTGCAGCCATGGGGGTGGGAGGCGGCGGAGGCCTGGGCCTCTCGTTAAGCTCGTATTTGTCATTTTCCCTCATAAGTGGCTCCTGACAGATAATTCCAACATCGGCGTGACACGTACACGTTTTTCATGCAAGTTCGGACCGCCGTCACCTTGAGAAAATCCTGGCTGCGTCCCCGTAGATCCCACAGACTCACCTTGCAGCTGGCCAGAGAGATTCGAAACATTCTTAAAGAGTCTACAACAAGCCACACAGCAAAACCGTTTCAGTATCGCGAAACTACCGCCGAGGAATACTCGCGGGAATCAGCGCCGGCTAGTAGGGCGCCAACCACGGGGCCGTTTTAACCAAAGCTACTACAGAAGGCTGCGCAGACGTGACGTCACAATGGAATAAAATTTGGGAGCCCGTAGTATGGTTTTTGGCTGACACTACACGAAGGTTGGGAGATACTAGTAACATGATTACGAATGGAGATTTCGAGAATAAATTGAGCAAGAATCCTGTTCTTCATTTTTTCCAGTGTTTTGTGAATAGATAGCGTGAATTTTGCATTTAAAACCTTCCAGAAAAATAAATACTTTGATCTGCTTCCAAAATTAATCCTACTAAACCACTGTTTTCTAGCTTTAGTACTCGCGCCGTATTTGTTGTAGCCAATGTGCCTGAACATTATGGGAGCGTGTATATCGACCCATGAGTCGATTTGCTGAAAACGGCCCTTCTGTGTAAATCACGTCGGATCCGAGTCGATTTACACACAATAGATTGTAGAATCTGATTCACCTTGTGACCTCAGCTGTTCCATTTCATTTGACTCAGTACCAGACTACGCTTACATTGAATCACCTAACTCACGACTCACGCAGGCTGCAAAATGAAGTGCAATGCAAAACAGCTGCACCACTAAATCGAGTCAGATTCATGACGTCACGTTTGCGCATGCGCACTCGCCTGCGTTTGCGACCCGTGTCCCGCACCGACGCGCGGTTTTTGAACGCCGGGCGTGCCGAGGTGCGGGTGAAGGGTGGATGTGGTTGCGCACAAATGAGGATTAAGGTATGTGCATATTGTGCGTGCATGAAGGTATGTGCATATCGAATCGAGTCACAGATCAATGAAAGTAATTCATTAAATAGGTACACTTGGGCCAGAGACGAGGCGTAGGTCAAAATCAGGGTGCTTTCAACCAGGGACGACGCAGCAATGGCATAGGGGCTGTCCCCGCCCCCCCCCCTCCCCCTCCCATTGCCGGCAGACGGGTTAGATGGCAGCAGTTCAAAATCGGGATTTCCTTAAACATTGAAGGCCCCTTTTGTGGATTGAAAGTATGCTGTTTCTTGGTGGCAAAGCCCTTTCACGTGCCAGGAGGCCATGTTGTATGGTACCAGTGCCCTTTGTTGACAAAATTATAAGGTCCTGTTTGTTTTATTGTCAACATGCATCTACCTGGATATAATGCTTATAACAGTTTGGTAAAAGAACAATATGCTGCAATTTTCCTTTCCCTTCAACTTTCGAGACAACATTGCCCATGAGGCCCCTGTGAGGCAGTCCCATTTTGCTTAGGAGGCCCCTTGGATATCCTTTCCCCCCCAAACCAAAAATCCATGGTGCCATTCCCTCTGTCAGCATCAGCAGGCTGGACTGATTTTCCCTCACTTGTTTCTACTTTGTGTTTAGGTAATTCATTGAAAGTAGCACATACTTTGTACCTATACATTTTGTCACAAATGGAAGCAGGTTTTGTCAGCTGATTGAATGTTACAGTGCTCATGTATATGATAATGGTGATCTTCACCTGATTCTTTGAATGCCTGTCTTCTGGTTTGAAAGGAATTGGCCCATCCTGGCTGAAAGCAAGATTGGGTAGGTGTTTTCAATCAAAATCTGTGGATTTTGTTTGAAATGCTGGAAAGTATTTTACATCAGGTGGTATTAATTTAAGAAAAGATTTGACCAGTACATATATGCTTCTAACAAAATGTATTGAAAGCTGTAAAGTAACAGCTGGGAATGATTAAGTTTTTTTCCAAATCTAGCATTGGACAGGGAGATATCTTGGTGAGCGAGGTAACGCAATTGTAACAAACGGAAGGTGGCCTAAAACAGTATTTATCAATTTAAAAACTTTGGGGAAAACAGCAGCCATGTTTGAAAAGCAAATTTGGATCTGGTGAGGCAAGGAAAGATGTTACTGGAGATCTTAGCTTCATCAGCATGCATTTTAGGACCCACTAAGGTTAGAATGCAACAATAACATGATTGTTGTTGTCCACAACTGTTCACATACTCTTGCATGTATGTAAACTTATTTAAAAAGCAGTGTTTAGATCATAATATATATATATATGTATATATATATATATATATATATATATATATATTATATATATATATGTGGTGTGTGTGTAAGAAAGCTGTAGGTGTGGCTGACTGACAAGAATCACACTGAGAAGTTCGCCATCACAGAGGTCTTCCCGGACTGCGACCAGTTTCTGTGCAGCTTCCATATGCTAGCAAACATGCTGGCTTTTTCAGTTTGTTTTCATAACCTATCAAGGTTGCAAATTGGATTGACTCTCCTCATTGCCCTTGTTTGTCTAATATCATTACTTAATGGCTTGATCATCCTCCGCAGTGGTAAAAAAGCTGAGTGTATGCTGAGTGATCCCTGCATTATGCATCAGCTGTTGAGCCAAACTAGGCTTTAAACATTTTATGTGGTATACAGCCTTGATAACTTTTTCATATAGCACTAATGGTCTGGCTCTTGCCTCTGCCCCTGATAGTCTAATGTAGTACTCCTGCAATCTGGCGCCCTGGCCCCTGATGTTCTAGATCAGAAGGCCCAATGTTGTGTTATGGTGAGCCTTTGCTGGCTTGGCAGGCTGTGTTACAAGCCAGAAAGCCCTGTACTGGATTAAGAGGCACTCTATTCAAGAGGCCCCTTTGATGCATCAGATAGCAGCAGTTCAAGGTCAGGCTTCCCAACCTGATATTACTGCCCTTGAGAGTCTGGCGAGTTACTCCTACCTCCTGGTACTCTGGCCCTTGGTGGCCAGACCTGGCACTCCTGCCCCCATGGTCTGACCTGGTACTACTTCCTCCTGGTGGCCTTACCCAGCCCACAACTTGATGGTGTGAATTGGTACCAGTGCTCCTGGTAGCATAATACTGCTGTCTCATGGTGATCTGACGTGGTACTTGTGCCACATGGTAGAAGGAGGACTTGATACCTCTGCCCCTGATGGTCTTATCTGGTACCCCTGTGCTTAGTGGTCAGGCCTGGTATTCCTGCCACCTGATAGGGTACCCCCACTATTGATGGTCTGACCTGACACTGCTGCTGCCAGCTGGTCTGACCTGGTACCCATGCCCCCTGCTTGTTTGGCATGGTGCCTTGTGCCTGATGGTCTGACCTGGTGCTACTGATGATCAGACCATCAGTGTGTGGGGTCACCAGATCAGACTACTGGAGTTAGAATTACCAGGTCAGGCCATCAGGAGGTGGGTACCAGACCTACCCTGATGATCTGACCTGGTACCCTGATGATTTGACCTGGTACCATGATGATTTGACCAGTACCCCTGATGATTGACCTCTTACCCCCTGATGATCTGATCTGGTACCCCTGATGATCTGACCTGGCACCCCTGATGATCTGACCTGTGACTCCGATGATCTGACCTGTGAATCCTGATGATCTGACCTGTGACTCCTCATGATCTGACCTGTGACTCCTCATGATCTGACCTGGGATCCCTGCTGGTCTGACCTAATATTCCTGCCTCCTTGTGGTTCTTGGTATGCCAGCTGGCAAACTAGCTGGTTGTGCTTTGTGCATAATGTCTGTGGACATTACTGGGCAGTGCACTTAGCTAACATACTTCGCTATGTTTCAGACGTATAGCATCTCAACAAAAGATAGAAGATGCCCGTGTTGAGGAAAGGTGACTGTTTTCATTCCTTGATGAGCTAGATGCCCAATCCGTGAATTGGAGGCCGAGACGAATGTGAAGTTTTTCAAGTCGAGCTCTGTCACTCTTGGTAAATTTCTTCAGACAAATCCTGGGCACTTTATTTCAAAGTTGTCGCTGACCGTGCTGACAAGGAGGCGCTTTGCAGCAGAAAAAGTACCGTCTCGTTAAATTTTCATGCACTCATGGTGGGCGCCAGTACGAAAGCAAAGCTGGCGATCGTCGTGTCCGAAACACGAGAACCAAAAAAGTCGGCTGTCCCGTAAGCATCCTAGTGTTTCTGGAAAAGTCGCGTTTAGAGATTAGGGACATCTCACTGGAGCATTCCCACCCGGTGTCGAAGGCAAGCTTTCTGCTGCAGCCAGAAAATCGTCGCCTGCCTGCGTCCTAAAGGCAGCGTCACCACAGTCGTGGGATCAGCAAAGAAATAAGGTAATCTTGCTTGTTGTGAATTGATACGACCTTTCATTGACAATTGTTAGTAAAACCACGTCTCGAACAGTAATGAGTTGGGAAATATGACCGGCTCATATGCGGTGCGTTTCCGGTCATGACTAACTTGTATCGATCAATAACACATGGTACGGCGTAAAACTAGGTCATAATGTTTCTGCTCAGTGCGTACCATGTCTTGATGTAAGTTTTTCTTAACGTGTTCCTTTTTTTCTTCAGAGTACTGAACAGCAGCGGTGGATGGTGGGAGCGCTGGATTACACCGTCCACGTACTCGGCTTTAAACTCGCCATCATCATGCACCGCGTGGTCACGGTGTTCCATGAATTTGACATAGCTTCGTACATCGGAAACGCCTTGACTTCCCGGATACCTGTAGAGCTCTTAGGCTTCTTCTATTGTAGAGAACAGGCTCGATATCTATATTCGTTTGCATGTCATGATGTGAATAGCTAGTTTGCCAAGATACATCTTCATGTACATATATGAGTATTGCAAGCCCATCCAGAGACTCTGAAAGGCTGAAAGCGTTTCCGACTATCTGTGTTGATTGTTTCCAAACTGGATAAGCTTTGTTAAATAGCACCGCTCACCAAGCAATGGTTGCTTACGTCCAACCTGCTGCGTCCCTGGATGTCCTTGCACTATCTCCTCACTAGTCGAGATGAACGTTGAGCGAGCTTAGATCTGTCGTGTACCTGAACTAAGTAGCAGAAGTGAACTAAGTAGCCTCGTCAAATGTCTGATGCGTTCTTCGTCGACAGTTCCACATATGCGAGAACTGAGTGGGTAGTTATATACTTCCCCATGCGAGGAAGACGCATACAAATGTATGTACAATTTTGTTTTGTGCTAGTTTAACCAGTGACCGCTAGGGAGAATGTGTTTTTAAAAATACCAACATGAGAGCATTGCTTTGGCTACTCATTCAGTGTGTCGGGCCGCTGTTACATAATTGCTTAGTGCGTTCAACAATTCTCAGCCATGGTTGTTATTGATGTTTTTTGACACTGGTTGCGCTCGCACGCTTTGAATCTAGTCAAGAAGAACGTTGATGATTGATGGCGACAGCTCCAGTGGAGGGTGACAAGCCTAAACGGGTCGGACCGGGAAACGTTGACTTGGCTGGAGCGCAAGTCAATGAGGTCAGTCGCAGGAAACTCAAGAGTCTATTTGACATATCGGGACGTAGTCGCAAATTCTGAGGCTGAGCTGGGTCGAACACATCGTGCTCATTTCTGCATCAACACCGGCGGGTCGCCACCTGTTGCAGTTAGGCCAAGAAGAACCCCATATAATTTGAGACCAGAGGTGCGGAGGCAAATCGCTGACATGGAGGCCCGT